GGTCAGTTCTACCTTGGGATTCTGCTACTTTGTCAGTTTCATTGATGATTACTTCAGGTGCACTTGGATATTTTTGATGAAAAATCTATCTGAGTTATTTTTTATTTTTTCCAAACCTTCCACGCTGAAATTCAAAATCAATTTGGGATTTTAATTTGCATATTTCATAGTGATAATGTCATAGAGTATTTGTCTTTCCTATTTCAACAGTTTATAAACTCTCATAGGATTATAAATCAGACATCTTGTCCATGCACATCTCAATAAAATATGGTAGCTGAAAGAAAAAATAGACATCTTATTGAAACTGCTCATACCCTAATCATACAATCTCATGTTCCGTCGCATTTTTGGGGGGATGCAGTTCTTACATGTTGTTATCTAATTAATTGTATGTCATCCTCAGCTATCCAGAATCAAGTTCCATTCTTTATTTTGTTTCCTCACTCACCTTTGTTCTCTCTTCCACCTTGTGTCTTTTGGAGCACATGATTTGTTCATAACCTTACTCCAGAAAAAGATAAGTTAGCTCCTCGTGTTCTTAAGTGTGTATTTTTGGATTACTCGAGAACGTAAAAGGGATATCTATGATATTCACCTGACCTTCATCGGTACCTTATGTCTGTTGATGTTACCTTTTTTGAAACCCAATCATACTTCACAAGTTCAGGTAGTCACTTAGATATTTCTAAGGTGCTATCGGTTCCATCTTTTGGAGATTCAGTCACTATCTCCCGTTCATCTTCCTCTACAGCTCCAGCTCTACCATCTACAGCTTCAGTTCTAACTCCACCACCTATAGCTCTAATTCCATCACCTAGTCCAGTTCAACCTTCTACAACTTCACCACTTCTGACTTATCATCGTCGTTTGCACCCAACATCAGGCCAGGCTGATTCACATCCTGCATCTGACCCTACTTCTACTGTGGACTTGTCTCCTTCTAGTCAACAAATTGCACTTCGAAAAGGTATGCGGCCCACACTTAATCCTAATCTTCATTATGTCGGTTTAAGTTACCATCGTTTGTCATCACCTCATTATGTGTTTGTATCATCTTTGTCCTCTGTCTTCATCCCTAAGTCTATAGGTGAAGCACTGTCTCATCTAGGATGGCGACAGGATATGATTAATGAGATGTCTTCTTTACATACGAGTGGTACTTGGGAGTTTGTTCCTCTCCCGTTGGATAAATCTATTGTTGGTTGTCGTTGGGCGTATGCAATCAAAGTTGGTCCAGATGGCCAGGTTGATCGATTTAAGGCTCGTCTTGTTGCCAAAGGGTATACTCAGATATTTGGGGTCGATTACAGTGATACTTTCTCTCCCGTGGCCATGGTTTTTGTTCGCCATTGGACTCTCTATAAGTTGAACATTAAGAATATTTTTCTTCACGATGACCTTGAGGATGAGGTTTATATAGAGCAACCACCTGGTTTTGTTGCTCATGGGGAGTCTAATGGCCTTGTATGTCGGTTGTGTCGGTCCATCATGGTCTAAAGTAATCTCCTCGAGCCTGGTTTGGTAAGTTCATCACAGTTATTCAGGACTTTGGCATGAATCGTAGTGAAACTGATCACTATATGTTTTATCGGCATTCTGCTTCAAATCTCTGTATTTATTCGATAGTTTATGTTGATGATATTGTTATTACCCGCAATGATCAGGATGGTATTACTCAGTTAAAGTAATATCTCTTTCAGCACTTTCAGACTAAGGATCTAGACAGATTAAAGTATTTTTTAGGCATTGAGATCGCTCAGTCTAGCTCAGGTATTGTGATCTCGCAACGGAAATATGCCTTAGAAATTCTTAAGGAGACATGAGTGACAGGTTGTAGACCTGTTGACACTCATATGGATCCGAATTCTAAATTTCTGCCAGGACAAGGGGAGCCGCTTAGCAATCCTGCAAGATATAGGTGGTTGGTTGGTAAATTAAATTTTCTCACAGTGACTAGATATGATATTTCCTTTCCTGTGAGTGTGGTGAGTCAATTTATGAGTTTTCCCTATGATAGTCATTGGGATGCAGTTGTCTGCATTCTTCGATATATAAAATCAACTCCAGGCAAAGGATTATTGTTGATAGAGGCCATGAGCAAATTGTTGGATACTCAGATGCTGATTGGGCAAAATCACCTTCTGATAGACATTTTACGTCTGGATATTGTGTTTTAGTAGGAGGTAACTTGGTATATTGGAAGAGCAAGAAACAGAATGTCATTGCTCGGTCTAGTGCAGAAACAGAATATCAAGCAATATTTATGGCAACACTCACGACCGAGCAATGACATTAAATGAAACTTGTGTGTGATAATCAAGCTGCCCTTCATATTGCATCGAATGCGGTGTTCCATGAGAGAACTAAATACATTGAAATTGATTATCAATTCGTCAAAGAAAGATACTCTGAGGAGATATTACTACAAAGTTTGTGAAGTCAGATATTTTCACCAAATCCCTCACCAGTCCTCGTATTAGTTATATATGTAACAAGTTCGGTACATATGGTTTGTATGCACCAGTTTGAGGGGGAGTGTTAATAGCAATGTGAATATATGTAATTAGTCCTAGTCTCGTGTGTAATAGGAGTAGGTTATATATTATTAAAAGCAAAAAAAAAAAAAAAGCACCACATTAAGCCAAGTGAAAGCCTAGTAAAAAGTCACATGGCATAATTAGTTAATAATTAGTTATTTATCTATATCTATATATCATTAAATGCCAAAGAAAAAGGCATCACATAAGCCAAGTGGAAGCCTAAGAAAAAGTGACATGGCATAATTAGTTATTTATCTATATCTATATTTTATTAAAAGCCAAAGAAAAGGCGTCATATTAAGCCAAGTGGAAGCTTAGGAAAAAACCACATGGCATAATTAGTTATTTAGTTAAAAATTATTATTTTTAAATGTAAATGTCTATAAAATTTGAAACTTAAAAAAAAATAACAAACTACCAGTTCAAATTAGGGAGTAGTTTTTCTTCATATATAAAAGAGAAGTAAAAGGCACCACATTAAGCCAAGTGGAAGTCTAGAAAAAAAGCCACATTATTATTTTTGAATTTAAATATTTATAAAATTCGAAAATTAAAAAAATAATAACAAACTACCAAGTGGCAGTCCTACAATATGCTACTTGGCAATTTTGGACAAAATTAATTAGGCTAGATAATAATTAGTTTTTTGAATTTAAATTTTAAAAATAAATAAATTATGCACTATGTGTTGTTAATAGTTAGTTACTCTTTTAGAATTTGAATTTAAACATATTTAAATTTTAAATATGAATTTATTTTTTAGATTTTATCTAAAAGAAAGGACACTGTATAGCCACTGTAAAAATAATAACCGAGAAAATGTATAAAATGTATATATTTTTTGTATATATATGCATTTTGTATCTTATATACAAAAATTATATAATTTTATACACTTTTTCGGTAAGCAGATATAAATAATTGATGGCGCGAGCTAAAAGTGATAATACCTCTTTAATCTATATACTAGTTTGTACTTATAAATAGGGTTCATTATATTATAATTAATATCAATAATATATTTTGCTCCCGCGCTTTCTCACACTAATAACAATGGCTGCAAACATACTAAAAATATTTGTATACATAAAGGTGGACTGGATATTTCGAATAAATTAGGGAATTTTTCATAAAGCACCATCTTTTAAGTCTAATTAGTCATTTATAGATACCCTTTGCTATATTACGTGTTATAGATACCTTTTATGTTTTTATACAATGTATTTTATGTATTTAAGCTGTTGTATTCATTAATACAACCAAAAAAATAGGCGTAAAAACTGGAATTCCAGCTAAGTTTGACTTGTATTTAGCAATTTTTAGCTGTATTCAAGCGGCATTAACGTTAAATACAGAAGGTTAAACTGGTTAAAAACGAAAGGAAATCAAATCACATGATATTCTCCTAATTTAACTCCACGAACTAAGGAAATCAAATCACATGATATTCTCCTAATTTAACTCAACGAACTAAAACGATCCCTCATTAATCTGTATTTGAAAGATACACAATAAAGATTATAATTGAATAAAGAGAAATACATATGAATAATACAATTGAGTAAAACTGTATACAGTTGAATACAACAAAATACAACTTAATTCATCTGAATAAAACACTTGAATACAACAAAATACAACTGAATACAGCTGAATAAAACTCTTGAATGCAACAAAATACAACTAACTTCAGCTGAATAAAATAGTTAAATACAACTAATTAAAACTGAATACAAGAGAATACGCATAACTTTTTAATACATCTAAAATATATAAATTAATGCTACTGAATACATGTGAATACAGCTGAAAAATATATTCGAATACAACTGAATACAAATAGGCGATTTGGGCGATCTAGAGAGAGAAGCAGCCTGATGGCTTCGCCGGCCGGCGGCCAGCCATTAATCTGGCTGGTCAGCCCCTTAACACATCTGCCCAACCTCCTACAACTACAAACAATCCTCAGCCCTCAAATCACACAAACGAAGCCATGAATTACGCAAAAGCTGTGAACCCTACTTCAACGACCACTGCCAAGCAGAATCGAGCCGCTACAGTTGAACCAATTGCTCTTCGTCTATCAAAATCAACGAATTAAACTTACCCTAGGCTATTGTAATTGAGTGATAATGGAGGAGAACTAGAGAATTTTGGGTGGGAGGAGATGTATGAATCGTGGGTTGAGGGAGAAAGAGTAAAGTGTATGCAAAAAGAGAGAGAACGTGGTTAGTCAATTTTACTGTGATTATGTAAGAGAAATATTATTTAGCATATATGGTGCCTTAAATGTAGGATGTAACTATAATTAGATATTTGGCTATAAAGTATAAAAGGTATCTATAGGATGCAATATTTTAAAATGGTATTTATTTAAAATAAATAGGGTACTAAGGTTTTCTATAAGGGGTAAAAATTCCAATAAATTACTGTCTCAGATATGACACAAATAACATAGGCCAATATCAACCAAATACCAATATGACAATTCTTCGTCGAGAGGGAAACGGCCCGAATCACCGGCTAAGACCCCTAAATTGACCACGCAGTGATCGACTGACATTAAAGTAGCTTGAACAAAGAACAGTTTGCTCATGTTTAAAACAAAGAAATACATCATTTGGAGGCAATTATACATGACCATCTTCATAATTCACAACATGACATCAACAAGAATACCACGGCAGAACAAGAACAAGCAAGAGATAGAGATGAAAAAGAATATGGAAAGTGCATACAACTGTATGGACAAGCATAAACTGGGATCTGTGAGTTTGGCTCTGCAACCCCATCATATCCTTAACTGTGCCTTTGCAAATGCATCCCAAATTTTAATTGTATAATTCAGCTTTATGGTACTTCCTGGCAGCAACTAATATCAGCACTCTTCCTTCCCCAAGTTGGTGTGCCAAAATTTACAGTGAACAGAGAACTGAGACAAAGCGCAGCTACTAATGCAGTCCCTCATCATCGAAAACTTAAACCCTCTATTCCCTTGACGGTGGACTCTAAATTCTTTATATTGGCGTTTTTGATAGAGGAGCTGCGCTTGTGATCTGAGGACACAACTGGTGAACTCCTCCGTGCAGCACTGGATACTTTACGCAATGGTCCCGGACTTGCATCTTTTGTCCGAGTGCCGGAGAGGTCAGGTTCACCCCCAGCAATCACTGGGTCTCGGATGCTTGAGACAACTGGACGCCTTGATGGTCCACTTGACCGGAAAAAATTAGAACTGGATAACTGCAAACAAAAACTCAGTCAAATTCTGTTACGTTTACCGGTAGCTACAGATCATAAAACATGCGTAGGTTTTGAGCGTATTCCCCAAAGTGTAAGCTGTGAATCCGTATTTGTACTAAATTCCGATTCTTAATGTATGCCACCTATTTGATCTCCCGTTGGCAGTTATATTGAAGAAATATCAAATGAATACAGGATTTCTCTCATGTTCCACGATGACCAAGCACACGTGTAGAAGAAATAGAAATAAAGGTAACATAATGCCAACCCCTAACTGTGCACCCATCTTTTCTTTGTCATACAGACAAACCACACCACCCTTTTGGCCGTCTAACCTATAGCCAATCATCNGAAGCAGAAAGCCTACACAAAAATATGGTTCTCTATAAAGACACCCAATCCTCTATCCCTATAGGAACTTCGCGGGAACTCCAAAAGTTGAGCAAAATATAGATAAGCCCTAAGCTTTACAAAGTCATGTTCCTTTGCTTTAAAAGCTCTCCTGCTCCTTTACCTCCAAAAAACCCACATGAGCTTTAGAGGCACAACATTTCATGCTCTAATTATTCCATATCTACTTTGCAACCCCCCCCCCCCCC